CTGATCCTCCATGCTGGAGAACCTCCCAGCACCCCAAGTTCCCAGCTCAGCCCTGCAACAGAGCATAGATCAACCTGAAGACATCCCGTTTCCTGGCCTGATCGGAAAGCTGATAAAACAGGGCAGCAAGTCCAACAAAATGATGGGAGTTTCACTGAGCTTGCAGAGGGACTGGAACAAATGGCTCATTAACGTGAAGATACCTCCTGGGCCAAAAGGCTGGGTAATTGAGGGTGAGGCGACATTCTCAAAGGACTCTTCCTCAGACCAAGAACTTTCCCAGCCCAGAAACACACACCTAGTCCAAGGTCAGACAGAGTTAGAATTTTATTGAGCCAATGGTTGCTCCTCCTGTTCACCATGTCCTGAGATCAAAATCTCTGTAGGTGAGAAGCTGGTGGAATTGGATTTATATTTCCAGACCGCCCCAACCCGCTGTGGCCTCTCAGAGGAGGAGCAGCTGGCAAACTTTCCCTGGGACTCCCTGCCCTGAGTGCTGTGCCCCCTCTTGCCGGCAACTCCTGTCTGGTTTTGGATGGGCCCGCTTGCTCTCCCTCTGAGGATCCGCCTCGTGGGGGAACAGCACCGACCACGCCAGGGATGGATGCCCCAAGCCCCTGGAAGGACCACAGAGCCCCGCATGTGGTCTCCCCCGCCCACTCCCAGGGACAGTGAGACTCATATGAGACAACGCATTTTGTGCATGGTTTATAGAATGGCTTCTTGTTTTCACTGAGATGAGCTGAAGGTGAGAGGCATTTGCTCCTGTTGGGGTCTCTCATTGTCTCCAATTATAACATTGTCTATACCACAAAATCTCCTCCAGGGTCTCATCGCTCAGGTCCCTAGAGTAACTTCCTCTTGCCCAGAACATCAAGTTGAGGCTTCTCATCTAGACTCCAAGATCCTCCTTTCACTAACTCCTCTCCTCTCTGGCCCTTGTTTCTCATATGGAATCTCTGTTCCAATGTTCCTGGGATTCAGGCACTGGTTCCCTCCCTCTGCCCACTGGTACTCCATGGCTGAGCAGGTATAGTCTTCTGATGAGAAAAGGCAGGGCCATGTCTTCTGGGACAGTCCCAATTCATTCCCAGGAGAAGGACGGGAAAGGTGGCCTCTGGTTGGCCTTGCCCTTGTGCTTTTCCCTGGAGCCAACCTGGATGCCCTTAGAATATCTGACACATGGCATGAGCCAGGGAGAATCGAATCTGCACCATGGTGGTGCCAGGAAACTCGGATTCACTTTGTGATCCTGGCTAGAGCACCTGGCTCTCCAGCACTCTTTCCTTCACTGGCATCTGACCTTATTCTTCCCACGCAACGTAGAGAGTAGAATTTTTTTCTCAGGCTCCACCACGTGAACCCTTAGGACAGCAAGGATGCAAAATGCCTCCCCACACGTATCCCCACCCACCGTCTGCTCCCTCCCTCAATCTTCTGCCAAACGATTAGCCAACCTCTGCTTGAAACTTGATAACTCCCCAGGTGGCCTCTCCCATCTCAGGATCAATAGAAAGGTGCCTTCCATATTGATCCAAATCTGCTGTAGCTCCCACATGTCTATCTGGGTCATCGGCTGGGGACAGCCCCCTTCCCGCGGTCCTATGGAAGCCCTTCAAATCATTGTGGTTAGCTGTCACATTTCCCCCAAAGACTTCTCTCCAGGGCCTTCAGCCATGCCTCATGTGGCCAGGTTTCTGATTTCCCACCATCACTGGCCTCTCTCCTCTGAGTAGGCTGTTTACTAACTTCCTTGGAGCTCAAAGCCCCCAGAGTGGTCTGACTCCAGAAGAGCCTAAACAAGCTCTGCACACCACTCTCTTCCTGGTTCCCATGCTGTCTCCTGCAGCCACCACACCCTCCCTGCTGACTCACGTCTCCCCACTGTCAGCTGAACACTCTAAATCATTTTTATGCCCACTGCTCCCTGTCCGTGTCTTCCCTTCCTTGTCCTGGCACTCTTGGTTTTTGTCTGCAAATATAGGACATTGCAACTGCCTGCTCCCTCTCTCTTTCCCTTCGGGCAGCCCCTCTGCCCACCTTCCCCATTCCCAGCCTGTCCTTCAACAGGTGCCAAGACAGGTGAGACAGGGAGAAATTTCTCAGAGATTGTAGGCGTGTGTATGGGAACACAATGTCTTATCAATGTGGGTTACAATCATTTTCGAATGAATCTCCTATCCAAATTCCATCTGTATTCCTTCAGGGAATGAGAAAGTAGGTCACATCTCTTATGCGACTCCTTTACACAGACTCAGAAATACCACATAGGATAAGGTGATGGCTTGACTTGCTTCATTCTTGAATTTATGCATCATGCACTCATTGAAGATGCCTCTGCCCTGGGCCCCCTTCCCAACTCAGCTTCTCCTGCCTGCCCACTCCCTCCCACTCACACATGGCCACCCTCTCTTGTCTTTCAGTCTCTGAGCAGACTACTCCCCTGTCCAGAGGGCCCTGCCCTGCCCCCCTGCCCACATCTGTCTTCCGCAGCCCTGTCCCACATCCCAGTCTTCCAGAAGCCTGCTGGAATCACACTTCCCTTCCCCAGCACTGGCACCTGCTACAGGACCTACTGCTCCTGGTTTGGGGGGTCTGCCTGTGTCCTCAGGATGGGCCTTGCTTCCACTTTCAGGCTAGGAGGTCCAAAGGCACATACTCTCATTCCTCCTCTCTCTGAACCTTCCCTCCCTGTAATGTGTCATTTGAGTTGTGAGCACCTTAAAATTCAGACACATGTTCATTCAACATTGCTTTCCAGTATGTAGGCCACTGCCTGCCACACAGTAGGAGCTTAATATTGGCCCACTGAACAAATATGTAATTAACTTTTGAATGATTGATCACTTTAAGGATTAATTAAAGATTATGTCTGCAAGGTTCTTCAAGATTGTGTATTATTTGTGCAATTCAAATAAATAAAAATAAATAAACTTTAACTTTCCAAATATGAATAATGTCAGAGGCCTACAGAAATTCAAGAAGAAATAACTCACATCCTGACCAAATAGAAAAATTTATTACAGAAACACCAGAAATGCCAAACCCTTCAAGCTACAACTTTGAACCAGGAAATAAATGATGAAGTCACAAGGGACCCACACTCTGCCCATCGGGTGCCCCAAGAGAATCACGGACTTGGAGGCTATGTGAGGACACAGCAAGCAAGTGAAGGTGACTCCAGATCTTGGAAGCAAAGTCACATTCCCTCTCTCAAGGTCTGGTATTAGCTGATACATTCCCCTTCCTGCCCCCTCCAGCACATCTCAAGCATCTTACATCAAACCCAAAATTAGGAGTGGAAGTTCTCACAAAGTGCTCAGAGACACGGAGGCACAAGGTAGAAGGGGCTTGTGAGGTCTGGGAAAGAGCATTAAACTGCCTTGCAAAAAACAGGCAGCTTCCAGACTGACTCGGGGTTGGAACCCCCTCAAGACCCGAGCCTGATCTTCAGACTCCTTAGGCCCTGGACACGTGGATGGGGCAGAGCTGGGCTGCATGTGCAGCACGTGGGCAGCCCTTAGTAGGGTGGTTCTGGAGCAGCACTCGGGAAGGGTCAGGCTTCCAGAGGATGGAGCTATCAGGGGGACAGGACAGAAGCAGAACTTGCTTGTTTGTTCATCAACTCCTTCATCCGCTGCTAAGAACAGGCTTCCCCTTGGGTAAGGGTGTCCAGTGCCCTCTGAAATAATCTCACCATGGGCTGTTCAAAAAAGGGATAATGCTTCCTGAGACAGATTCAGAATTAGGACAGACATGACTCACAGAAATCTGATGGAGGCAGCAAATCTACACTCTCCCTTAAGGTGAAAGTACGAGGCTGTGGCCCAAGAGGCAGGAGGCGGCCCCTGTGCAGAGGTTCCCCTTACCAGGCTAGCTTGCCTTGCAATCAGCTCCGTGCCCAAATGCTCCCCTGGGCTCCCCTGGGGAATGGGCTGTTGCTGACGGAGCAGCCCAGGTGCAGGAAATGGAGCCTGGGGTTGAGACACCAACTCTCCATTGTGCACCTTGTAGATGCTCCACGGGCTCTTTTTCTAATTCACTAAACCCAGGCTCTCAGGGTGTACCCAGGGACAGACACCCCTGCAGAATCTGAGTGAGAACGTGTCTTAACTTTTTTTGACTGCAAGCCAGTGCCCTCCAAAGAGAGATCTGTTTGGGCTTATCCAGCCCGCTTCCCCACCTAGAGTGGAATTGATTGGCAAACTGCTGAGAGCCATCAGGAAAAGGTACAGGAGAGGGGACAGGGAGGGCGCGTGGGGAAGGGGGCAGGAGAGAGCCGCGGCGCAGGCGGGGCCTCTACTCCCGGATTAGCCTGTGCGACGTGTTGGTAGACGTCTGGACGATCTGCACGCGCGACGACCCGCCGCTTCTGCCGCCGCCGCCGCCGTACTTGCTGCGGCTTCCACCGTAGCTCCCACCGCTGCCGCCCCCGTAACCGCCTCCACTGCCCCCTCGGGAGCCCCCTCCTCCGTAAGCTCCCCCGCCGCCCCCGCGGGAGCCGCTGCCGCCGCCGTAGCCCCCGCTGTAGCCGCCGCCGCCGCTGCCACCGTAACCTCCGGAGCCTCGGCCGCCGCCTGCAGCGCCGCTGACAGTCACCTGGCTGTTCTGCACCGCTGTCGGGGAGAGGGCAGCGGGGTGGGGTCAGGACTGGGCAGCAGCACCCACTTGCCCCCGCCCCGCACCTGCAGCCTCCTACACCCTTGATCATGGGCAGCACCCGGCCTGCCAGCGGTTACATTGGAAATTGTAGTATGTAGTATTCTTCATACTATGAAGACATGCCGGGGTCCTTTAAGCAACACATGTTCATTGTTTATTGAATACACACCCTAAAGAGTTCTAGCCACTGATTATTAGGCACCATAGAAATTAAGATAAGCAGACCTGAAATCATACAAATTTATTTCAATGAATTCTTCCAGGCTTTGTTGCCCCGGACGGGAAGCTGAGATGCCAGGCTTTCAGCTCCCTGCTGGTCACCCCCAAGCGTCCCCACCCCTCTCTCTGCCCAGCACCAACCAGCCCCAGTCCCTGGCCTCTGCTACTTACAGATGCTCACGTGGTTCTGCAGCTCTCCTGACATCCTGTAAAACCAAAGCACCATGTCAGCCAGACCCACAGGAGCCGAAGGAAAGCAGGCAGCAGCCTGAAGACATTGGGAGCAGTGTCCATGTGAAGGGAGACCAGTCCCCGAGCCTTAGGGAAATGTGTGCCCATGGGCAGAGATCAGGGAGCCAGTGATGCCAGAGGGGATTTTTCATGAAGCCTTTTAGCATTGGGGTGACACTTGGCTGGGATGGCTTGGGTTGGGGTTTGGGGACATTCTGCTTGGAGGCAGGAAAATGATAACAATGACTTCTCCCTACCTCACCCACTCACACATCCTTTGCTACTACCTTGAATGTTTCTGCTCACCCTGGGCTACCAATCTGCCCAGAAAAGCTGGGATCATCTTCTCTCCAAATAGCCCCACTGTTCCCTGGCTGCATCCTGGCTGCGCCCCAGAAACACAGCTGCCAGACAGACCCACCTGCACTCCTCGCCCTCCAGCAGCTTGCGGTAGGTGGCGATCTCCACGTCCAGGGACAGCTTGGCTCCCAGCATTGCCTGGTAGTCGCGCAGCAGCCGGGCCAGCTCCTCCTTGGACTGCTGCAGGGCGTCCTCCATGTCCTGCAGCTTCTGCCGCGCGTCCTGGAGGGCCCGCTCTCCTCGCTCCTCTGCATCCGAAATGGCCGAGCGCATCTGGTCGTTCTGCCCCAGACAGAGTCAGAGACCGTGTTGGAGTTGAGTTTCGGGAGCCCAATCGGGCAGGACATGGTGGGAGGCAGGGTGTCTGGTGAGCCCTCTCTGAGCACCCATCCCACCTGCTTCTTCACGTTGCCAATCTCTGCCTGCAGCCTCTGGATTTGGCGGTTGAGCTCAGCAATCTCCATCTTACTGTTCTTCAGGTCGTCTCCATGTCTCCCTGCCGTGATCTGCAGTTCCTGGTACTAAGGGCCAAAGGCAGCATCATGGTCAGCACCTGCTGCCCACCATGAGCCCCTCCAGGAGGGAGCAGGTCTGGGCTGCTCTCCCCTGGAAGGTTCCCAGAGTAAGCCCACCATTTTTATCCCGGTGCCCCCCCCCAGCATACACACTCACACCTATACCAAACCTCCCTCACCTGAGCTGCACACACACGCACACACCCCACACCAAGCCTCCCTCATTCCCACCAGTCTCTGGGCAGGCCCACCCCCCAGCCAGAGAAACCTGCTTCTTGATGCCCTCTTTTCCTCTAAGCCTTCACACTGTCCTTACCCACACTGCGACCCTCTCATTTTTTCCACCCCACCATATTCCCTCCTACCCTTTTCCAGGATGGTTTCCCTAGCAGTCAGGCAGGACCTCATGTCCTCATGTCCTCGTCTTCTTTTCCCTCTCTCTCTCTGTGTCTGCATTGCCCCATCAGTCAGAACTCTACCCACAGGACATGGTTCTGAAGGGCGTGGGGGGAGTGCTAACTCAGGGAACCTCTGCATCCTGACGTTCTCACTGTGACATCTGCCTCGCCCGTCTCACGGCGAAACCCATTCCCTCCCAGGACACCCATGTGCAGGACAGTGGGACAGAGGTCAGCCAGGATTGGAGTTGGCCACAGGTCATCTACAAAGCAGATTATCAAGTGCCAGTTGTCCAGAATTTAGTGACTGAGCTGTGGTCAGCCTTGGTCCCTTCAACCAGAGTCTTCACCATCCAAAAAGGCCCAGGTCAATTTATGGTGAAGAAGTAACCAAAGAGATGCCCAAAGACTTAGCTACAAAGATATGTATCTAATAAGGGAGGGAATAGCCTTACAATGGAGTACCATGCTGTTCAAAATTAGGTAGACTATTTAGAGTCACAGAAAAGCATTCATAAATGATCTGTAAAAAAGTTAAAAAACCATTTTTTAACAAATACCATTATGGGAAAAAAAAAGAATAAAAAGCATTCTAATGGTTAGAAGCATGGTTTTGTAGATAGATACCTGAGTTTAGTTAAGTTCCGGCTCTGCCATTTACTAGCTACAAGACCTTAGGGAAATTAGGTGATCTCACACTCTATTATCTATAAACTGACAATAATGAAATTCTTACCATGTTTGGTTGTTATAAGGATTGGATGAAATAATATATATGGCAGTTTGTGCAGTGCCAGGCATGTGTGAATTCTCAATAAATGTTAGCACAAAGAACTGATAGAAAAGACACTAACGTACTAATAGTGATAATGAGATATGGGTAATCGTTACCTGTAATTTCCGGAATTTTTATAACAAATGTGTTTTACTTCAGAAATAAAAGAAAGACAATCCGCTCCAGAAGGATCTGCTTGCTTCCCTGGCACCAAGTCTTGGGGCAGCACGCACCTTGGTCTGGTACAGCGCCTCCGCCTCGTCCTTGCTCTTCTGCGCAATCAGCTCGTACTGGCTGCGCACCGCGTCGATGATGCTGTCCAGGTCCAGAAAGCGGTTGTTGTCCATGGACAGGATGACGTTGGTGTCGCTGATGTGGGTCTGCATCTGGGACAGCTCCTGCGGGGTGTGGAGCACAGGCTGCCTCCTTCCACTCTCCCCTGGGGCCTCAGTCTCCCTCTGCTGCTCCCTCAAGGCTTTCTGAGGAAGCCAGAAGCCTGGGCCAGGTGGGAGTCTTGGAGAAAACGTTCTCTGAACTGTTGTGTGCAGGGAGAGGTGATGGGGAGAGTCTTAACTGCCTCAACTCAAGAGAGCAGCGACCCAGGCTCAGCCTCCAGAGAGAAGGAGGAGCCTGGGCTCAGAGCCCGCGCAGACACCACCTCCCCGCCATGCCTCTTCTGCCCCACTCCTGCCTTGCCTGGCTGGCTGCCGTCTCCAGCTGAGCCCCTGGCAGGCGTGCTTGCTTCTTGAAACCTCATGGGCTCTCAGAGGCAGGAGAAAGGACTCCAGATGTGGAGCCACTCAGGCCACTCAGACTCGCTTTTGAGTCCTGGCTCTACCACTGACTGGCTGGGTAAACCAGCAAGTAATTTAATCTCTCAGTGCCTCAGTTTTCCTATCTGTGGAATGGAGATGTCCATACCATAAGTAAAGCTTCTAACACAGCACCTGGCCAAGAGCAGTTACCCCAAGTTAGACATGAGCCATAGAAGACCCAGGTGGAGGAGTGTGTTATCCCTCACCCCTACAGTCTGTCTCCACTTCTTTTAAGATTCCACACTGTCATCTCCTGCAGAGTTCTCTAATAGTACTGCAACTCCCCAGAATTAATGAAGGTTTCTGGTGGTTTTGTCCCTATCTGTCTTGGTATTAACCTCATTCCCCAGACAGACTGGGAGCCACGCAGCTGTGATGACCTCATCTTCTCCTAACTTGGGGTTCTCCCTCACTCCCATCTCCACTGCCCATACTCGCAAATTCCGAGGACTCAGGCCTCTTAAAGCAGCAGCAGTTCCCAACTTTTTGGCATCAGGGACCGGTTTCATGGTAGACACTTTTTCCACCAATGGGGGTTGTCGGGGTGGCGAGCTCTCCAGCCCGGTCCCTAACAGACCACAGACCAGTATTGGGGGTTGGGGACTGCAGCTCTCGAGGGTGGCTGACTCCAGGCCCACAGAGTCGGAGTGACGGGGGAGATGACTAGTGGGTAACACTAGGTTTCAGACCTCCGCTCTCACAGCCCATGCTGATATGAGATATGAGAAAAGAAAGGGGCTTCACATCAGGGCTGAACTCACTGTCATGTATAAATATTTCAGGAAGTCGATCTCCCCAGCCAGGGTGTCCATCCTGGACTGCAGGTCCACTTTGCTCATGTAAGCAGCATCCACGTCCTGGACAGCAAGCAAAAGCAGTTTGACCTCATTGTCCCGGCGTTGCCTGCCACCAGCTCGATAGGCAGCCCAGGCAAGTGGCAAAGCCTCTCTGGGTTTACTTCCTTGCCTGGGAATGTCATCACCTCACTCAAACAAGGGAGCAGGCCGTTGCTTTCCTGGCGAGGAGGAGGTGTGGCGCCGACCTCCACACCCCAGTCAGTCACACACAGCACCCCGGGTCCTTCCCCAGGTCCCAAGGCCACACATAACTGACACCCTAAAAGCTGTCAGCTAATTTAATTTCACTTCCAGGACCCTGGAGAGGTAAGAACTCAAGGATTCCTAGACAGTGTACCAGTGTCAGTTTCAGACTTACCCTTCAGCACAAGGGCCCTGCATTTGGGCAACGCACCCAGCAAGCTGGCCCCACAGGTGTCTCTGCCCTTGTCACAGAGCGTCCCACAGGGATCGCTCACTCCACCAGCCCCGCTCCACTCCCAGCCCCGCAGCCCCCCTAGGAAACCCTCTTTCTGTCACCTTCTTCAGAACGACAAAGTCATTCTCACTGCTTGTCCTCTTGTTGATTTCATCCTCGTACCTGTGGGGGAGGTAAGGAGCATGAACAGGCTGCAGGGGCTGACCATGGCTCCCTGAGGTTTCTCCCACAGCAGGAAGCTGGACTTCCCCAGACCTTCCCCATCCTGCACTTGCAGAGCCCTGCTCCCGGTGCCGACTGTCCATGCCAGGGCCTGGCGTGCGCACATGAGAGCCACAGCCAGCTCGCGGCTCTTTAGGCAACGGCAGAGACTATAGTCTGGCATGGAAAACTCAGCCACGCAGAATGTCCATCTTTGTTTTGATCTTTTGCCTTTGTAAATGTGTCACACTCCATCATTTTTTTTCAACTGAGAACATAAAGTAACAACCACTTTTACTTTTGCTTTTTTATTTTTTTAGAGTCTTGCTGTGTCACCCCAGCTACAGTGCAATGGTGTCATCGTAGCTCACTGCCATCTCAAACTCCTGGGCTTAGTGATCCTCCTGCCTCAGTCTCCCTCATAGCTGGGACTACAGGTGCACGCCACCACACCTGGCTAATTTCTTTTCTATTTTTTGTAGAGATGGGTTCTTACTCTTGCTCGGTCTGGTCTCAAACTCCTGATCTCGAGCAATCCCCCTGCCTCAGCCTCCCAGAGGGCTAGGAATATAGGTTTGAGCCACTGAACCTGGCCCTAAATGTTTTTAAAGAAAAAAAAATATCACCTACAATTCTGCCCCCCAGCACCTTCTATGTGGATTTCATTTTCCCTCGTCGACTCACAGACACTTGGCCCTCCACTGACAATACAGCAAGCACATCAAGGTGACATTGACAGTGGCACCTTGTGGGGAAGAAAAGGGAGGGAGAGGTCCCCTGGTGGCCTGCACCACTCGGGAGCAGCTGATGGGCAGTTGCCCACCATCGGGAGTATCAATAGCTAATGCTCATGGAGTGCTCCGTGTATGCAGGCACAGTACTGAGAACTTATGAAGCATCATTTCATCCAAACCAGCAGTTCTCAAAGTGTGGTCCCCAATCCACCAGCATCAGCACCACTTGGAAATGCGTTAGAACTGCAAACACCCTCACCCCATCCCAGACCTATTGACTCAGAAACTCCAGGGATGGAGCCCAACAATCTGATTTCAACAAGCTGATGAGTGCTAAAGTTTGAGAACCACAGATCTATTCATCACAACAATCCAGCAAGGAAGGTACTTGCAACTTCCACTCTACTCGTGGAAACTAAAGACTTCAAAAGATGGATTTGTAGGCCACATTCAACATGGAGCCCCCTGAAGTTGTGCAGTGCAGAGCCCACAGGGTTCCACACTTTGTGCATAAACACTGAAGCAGAATGTCTCACCCACGTGAGCCACTTCCCTGCCATGCTTCTCCCCACTCTGCCCTGCCTGGAGCCTCACTTGTTCTTGTAGTCTTCCACGACATCCTGCATGCTCCTGACCTCCGTGTTCTGGCGCATCTGCTCCGCGTTGAGAAAATCCACCTGCCTCTGAAGCTCGCTGATGTAATTCTCCAAGATGGGCTCCAGGTTGTTGGACCGAGTTGAGGTGTTCACCTGCTGCAGCAGCTCCCATTTCGTCTGTAGCACCTGATTCTGCTGCTCCAGGAATCGCACCTGAGAGCAAAACACCCCAGTCCACCCCAGGCCATGAGTCAGAGCAGTGCCCCCTTTGAGTTGGGGGATCGGCAGCCCCACAGCACACCCGGACCTCAGGGAGTCAGGATGGTTTCTCCAAGGGTCAGAGGGCTTCCCCTTCTCTGGGACCAGGACACGCAGGACGCAATGTGGTTTCTGATGTTGACCAATAGTTGTAAGGTCAACTTGCCCAAAACTGACAGTAAGCTCACTCTGGTTTTGAAGGTAACTTGCCTCCAACTGAGTGCCTTGTTTCCTTTGGCTACAAAACTCACACCATACAGCTCTCACCCTCCATGCTCAGTTTATTCATGCCAACAGAAGGATGGTGTTTCGGAGCATGTGAAACACTAACAAATCCAAGGCTCCTTTCTCTTTGCAGTTGGAATGAGTCGTGTGATAGAGGAGTGGAGGAAGTGAGAGAAAGGAAGGAACGATTTGGCTAAGAATAGCAAAACGATTCCTCAGCAAGCCTGCCTGGGTGCCCCCAACCTGCAGCCACCACCACCTCTGCTGCCCGCCAGTATGTTTCTCAGGAAAGTGGCCTCATTTGCATGTTTTTATAACACTGAATTTTCAAAGTAAATGTTCTCATTTTCTTGGTAATGCATTCACAACGCCCCAAAGAAAGGACTTTGGTTGTCAGGTGTTTGGGAGATACCCATGTTGCTATTATTAGTCCAGGAAATGGAGGGTGAACATCATCCTGCAATTTCACTGTCTCTTCCCCCAAAACTGTGGATAGAAAGGTTAAATACAGGGTCCAGACCAAGTGCACAGACTGTGACTACCAATTTTCATCTTTCCTCTGCCCGTGTGCACCGTGGCACCTCTGCTCCATGCCCTGATGGAGACGCAGTGCTGCCTCTGTGCTTTGCTCGGGCACATGCTGTGCACACACCCCCCTCCAAACCTGCCTCCCTCCTCCAGGGGCAAGCCCACTGCTTGTTTGGGTAGAACAGAACCTGAAGACACTTCCTACCATGCAGCACTAGAGAGGGCGCCCAGAACCCCCCGGTCCTCAAGACTGTCCATATGAGAGGCCAGCCCTTGTTAACTCCCTGTTAATCTAGGCTGGAAGATGTTCGAGGAGAACACTCTTTCCCATGGTGCATTTTTGCTAGCCTTATCAAAGCAAGATTAAGCAACCACTCTCCCGGCTTGTCGACACAGCTTGTAACACCCCCATGAGAAATTCCTGCCACGTCTATTTTTACTCCGCAGTGGCACTCCCAGGGAGTGGAGAAATCAATCCAGCATTCATTCACAGCCCTGCGCTCAGTGGCAGTGGTGTTGTGGGGACCAAAGAAAAGCATCTTGTGGTCCCACGGGGAGTCTCCACATGAAACAGTGTGGGAACAGCTCCAGGTGCTCGGGGCTCGGCCCGAGTACCCCACCCACAGCACCTCAGGAGCTCAGTGAAGACACTGCGGTTCTCATCAGGCTGGCCCGGCAGCCCAGGCGGAGGCTGGCTTCAGGGAGTGACTTCACCACCCAACAGTCACTGAAAGCCACTGTGTTTCCCCCAAGCTCCTCCTGGGCTGTGTCCCGCCAGCAACATTCAGGGGAAGCTCAGCTAGCACAGACAGAATACGGCATCGTGCCGAGCTAACCTCGCCCACCCTCTGCCTTGGTGCCCCTCCCTCTTGCACAGTGACCTCCCAGTGCCCCCAGCACCCCAGAGCTCCCCAACCCTTTGCCTGGCAAACTCCTCCTCACCCTTTAGACCTCAACTGCATCCCACTGCAGCTCCCCTCTGCAGCCACCCCCGTGCTCTGCCTGTGCAGCAGCTGTGGAGGTTTGCAGCCATTTGGTGGTGGTGTTTGAGCCACGTCCCTCCCGGGCTGCTCTGTGGCCCCAGTGAAGGCAGGCTCACATCTGCTTTCTTCTCTGGGGACACAAGGGGCCCACAGATACACAGTGCCCAGCACAGAGAAGACAATGAATGTCATGGACTCATGAAATGCAAAGGGCTTCAGAATTGCCTGCTAGTGTGGCCTGCCCAGGCCACTCGCTACCCCCAGCTAAGAGGGTTAAAGGTAAGCTGAGCCAGGCCAGGCCAGTGTGTTAGTAAGAAAAGCAGAGCCCTCCTTTCCTTCCTAAGTTCCTGCTCTCTTGTCAGGGCTCTAAAAAAGCTTTTTTTCTCCATTCCCACTCCCTGAGGGTCCAAGTCTGAGACCTGAAGGGTCTCGGTCCAGGTCCAAGTCTGAAGGGCTGTCATTCAAAACATATTCACTGGATAATTATTATGTGCCAAGTGCTATTCTGGGTGTCAGGGATAAACAAAATAGGCAAAATCCCTGCTTTCCAGGAGTCCTGTGCAGAGAGACAACTGTAAAAACACGATCGTGTCCAATATGCAGAGCGTGGAATGGCTGTGGGTTGGGGCGTAGTGAAGCTGGCCTGGCAGGTGCTGCTTTAAATAAGATCAGGGAAGGCCTCGCTGACATGGTGGCATCTGAGCAGAAACCTAAAGAAGGGACGGAAGCTGGGCCTCAGTCTGGGGAAGGAGTCCCAAGCAGAGGCGATGGCGAGTGCTGGCGGTGGGCGTGGGTGCTAGAGGCCGGCGAGACACAGTAGTGCGCTGCCGAGCACAGGGAGAGGAGGCAGAGGGGCGCAGGTCACTGCAGACAGTGACAGCTGACACCCTGGGAGCTACTCCGCAGCCTCACTCTGCTCATTGGCCCCTGCGGTTTGAGCTGTTGCACCTAGCGAGGGCAATGTTGCTGGTTCTCACAGATGCAAGCTGGGATTGGCAGCAGCTGTGGGTTGGAGGGCTGGATTACATAGGACCCTATAGGTTTTTCATTTTTATTCCAAATGAGACAAGAAGCCACTGGAGGATGCAAATGAAGGAGTGGCATGACATGTTTTAAAGGATGGCTCTGCTGTGCTGTTGAGAATAGGCTGCCCAGGGTTCAGGGGGAAAGCGGGGAGACCAGTTTGGAAAGCAGGGCCAGAAGGCTCTGCCATAGAAGCCTCTCCCTTCCAGCCAGCAGAGTCCACCCAGCTGAGGAGCTTCTTGTGGTCACCCTGCCCTTGGGAGGACAGGAAGCCAAGGACTCTTGCACCATGGCCTCTGCTTGCTGCCCCATGCCATAAAACTGGACAGTTGCCATGCTCACAGCAGGAGCCATCATCAGATGAGAGTCTCAGCAGCCTGTGGTCCCTTCACGGACCCCCAGTCCTCTCTCCTCCCTGCTCCTGCCTTGGCCTAGCCTTGACTTCCCAGTGGGGACCCCTCACTCCAGTTAACCCTCCCACTGCTGCCTGTTCCTGAGCCATGATGATCTCCAGCCAAATTCCCACCTAGAGTGGTCAGAAGTAGCCCAAGACACTCTGCTCTGTCCAGCTCCGTTTTGGCTGTCCCTGGGCCGCATCACTCTCGCCCCTCCTCCTCCCACCCACACACTTCCCTGTCTGCAGCATTTGCCCACACAGCAGGGGCCAGCCCAGCAGCCTGGCGTGGCCCCTGGCCATAGTGACCCTGCAGCCAGACCACAAGTCAGCTCTGGCCTCAACACTGCACCCCCGCGGGGTCTGAGGGAAAGTCACCAAGTGTGCAGGGGCCTGGGTGCTCCAAAGTGCTTCCCACCTCATCCCTGAAGACAAAGTGCTTTCTGGGGAGCTCCCTGTGGCCACTGTGCCTCCACCTTGGGGTGAAAGGAATGCTGGAGGAAGGTCTTTATTGTGGCTGTTCCACTGGCCGCTGCCTGGTGATTTAGACCCGGTCTGGGGCTTAATCGGGGAGCTGGGGAGAGGGGCTTCCCCGTCTCCATCTGGCCCATTCTTGGCCCTGGATGAGCCAAAAGGAGGAACTCAGATAGAAGCCTACCTGTACGCCACTGCCTGTAGCCCCCAGAGAGACCCACCCAGCAGGACATTCTCCTGGGCTGTGCCACGGCAGCCTCACCTGCTCCTCCGCACCACCTCTGCGTTGTGTCTCCACCTCTCTCCTCTGTTATACCATCTTCTCTGGACATTTGAACCTTTTGAAATTCCCTGAAGCTGTCACACTTCCATGCCTCCTGGTCCTTCTACCTGAAAAGCTTCATTGCCCTGAGAGCGTGTTTGATTCTTCTTCCACCTTCAAAACTGAAGTCAGAGCTGGGGTCCCCAGAGAAGCCCTCCCAGAACCCAGCAAGCAGAGCTTGTGGCGCCCTCCTTTGAGCTCCCACAGCCCAGAGAGCACTACCCCTATGAACACGCTTCCTATATGCTGTTGTAATTCTCTCCCCTACAGGTATGGGGCTCCATGACAGCAGGACCTATGTCCTGGTTACCCCTGTAGCACCTGGCACAGTGTCTGGCATGTAGTAGATGCTTAGTGAATATTTGTGGGCTGGATGGGTGGACTGATGAGTGGGTGGATGGTTGGGTGGGTTGATGGGTGTGTTGGGTGGGTTGATGGGTGGGTGAGTGGATGGGTGGATGTGTGAGTGTGGGGGGGGCGAATGTGGGTGTATGATTGGATGAATGGGCGAGTATGCATGGGAGGGTGGATGGATGAGTACAGGGGTGCAGGGATGCACAGGTTGATAGAAATAATGATGAATGACAATGTGGGTACTATGCCAATGTCTGTTGAGTGTTTTCCTACCCCTTATCTGCTTTCCTGCCACAAAAAAGAAATAAATCTCCCCAAGAAGACAAATTAAAGCCTAAATGAGGTGAATGCTTTCCTAGGGTCCCAGGACATACACCTCTGGAAGTGACTGTCACCACCAGACTGAAACAACACAATGTGATGAGAGGTGGCAGGGGTACAAGGGCCCTCTCAGTCATTTGGTCAGTGACCGAAGACTCTACGTGCCCCTAAGGTACTCACCTTGTCAATGAAGGAGGCAAACTTGTTGTTGAGAACCATGATCTGCTCTCGCTCCTGGGCCTTGATCCTCTGGATTTCAGGGTCCACCTCCAGGTGAAGTGGCTCCAGCAGGCTCTCATTGATAGTCACCTCTTGGATGCCTCCCATAGGACAAGAAGGACCAAAGCCCCCAAGCCCAAAGTTGCTAGCCCCAAATCCAGAACCCCCAAAGCTGCCTCCTCCATAGGCACCACCCCCAAAGCTGCCACCCCCAAAGCCTCTACCCCCTCCAAATCCTCCTCCTGCCCCTCTTCCCTGTTGGAAACCACTGGAACTTCTCCCCACTAGGCTAATGGAGATGCTCTTACTGCCACCCAGATTGTAGAGGCTCCTAGAACCAAACGCCCTTCCATGGCTCCCATATCCACCACCGCCACACCTCCCTCGGGCCTGACACACAGACCCCACAATCCGACTCCCGCCACCAGAGCCTGCAGAGGAGCTAGCGCTACAAACCCGCCTGCTCCTTGAGCTAAATGCAGACCGAGAGCTGAATTGGCGGCTCATGGTTGCTGGAGCATCCAGAGAAGCTGACAAAAGAAAAGGCCCAGCTAGAAGGAGGCAGAGACCAGGCAGGGAAGCAGCTCTGACTCTCTGGAAGAGATCTGGCTCAGTCCCTATATATACACACACTAGCTGGGCTGGGCACCTTCAGAACCCTGGGAGGGGAGTATTAATGTTTAGTTTGCCTGCCAGTAATATCTGTTTAAAACCTCACACCTATGCGTTGCAGAAATTCCATTGCAGACAAACTTCCCCAACTTGATCATTTATCATTCATCTCTTGCATTTAGAGACCAGAGTGCAATCATCTCTCAGAATCTAGTTGCTAGAAACTCCTATACAGTTTCCCCCAAAATCATTAATTGATCTCTTCCTAAGAAATTACACTATCGGGTTGTTTGTTTTGAGGGTGTGCCTGAGAGATCTGGGGCAAATCTAGGGGGTGTCCAGTGACCTCAGGACCACAGCGAGGATGAGGGTGGAGACACCTACCATCGTAGCATTGTCCCGGTGGGGCAAAAGTTTTGTTCTGCCCTTCCCACACCCTGCTTCTGCTCCCTACTGTTATCACCACCATGCACACCCCAAATTTTATCGCATGGAAACATCGTGTTGTGGTTACTGAAAGCTAGTGGCACTCAGGGACTGTGCCCAAGGTCACTCATATTGTGAGCTGCTCGATGAGCCTCAGGCTCCTCAACACAGGACAGGAGGCTCTTCTGCACCAAAGGCCTGTGGCTGCAGATTTGCTGAGCATCTCCAGGTACCTAATCCTGTCTTCCAGACCAGGAGACAAACCATCCCAAAATAGCTCTTTTTCTGTTTTATCATTTCCAATATGTCACAGACAACTCTTTTGTAAAATAGAAAAAAATGAATTGCCCATTAAAGGGGATTTTCAAAACAAAGATATATAAAAAAAAAAAAGCCCTAATTTTTTTTATTTTTAGATTCAACAAACACAAAGTTGTTCCACTACTAAAAATAACAATAATAAGTTCCTAAATGGTTACTGTCAAATTCTGTACTTACCATGAACCAGTGACAAAGCGCCGTGGACCAGTGCTGGTCTGTGCCCACACTCTGAGGAGCAGGTCCCAGACAACACACCTGGGGCAAGGCTCAGTCAGTGAGCACCAGTGTCTGCCAACAAAAACAGGTGTTTGCCCTCCAGACCCAAATACCTGTGGCTTTCATTCAAAATGTAATAATAATTCTTTTTAAACTGGAAAAAAAAACACCTAAATGTCCAGTTTCAGAAAAATAGCTAAGTGATGTCTTGCCCACTTGGATAGAATTATTTAGAATCACAGTCATGGAGACCATGTAGCAGAACTGGAAGGCCCTGTGGCACCGTGTTAAAGGAAGGGAGCAGACTTCACCATGCTGTGAACTTATAAAAATTAAGAATGCAGATAGGGCAGGCTTAAAAAGTAACAAAGTGAATTGCTTTATTAGGGGCTGTGGGAGGTTTTTGCCTGTATTTTAAATGTCCTTTCCCTTTGTGTTCATCCAGTAAATATTTTTTCCAAAAATTGGGGCAGAAATCCCAATAGAGGTGGGAAAGGGCAGGTGGTAGGAAGAAACTAGAGAGGTGTCGAGCACAGCTGTGAGCAGGAAGCACCCAGGTCTGCCAGAAGAGGCTCTGAGAGCAGCTTCCACACCTTCTTATCTCAGCCTCTGCTATCTGTGCTTGGGAACTGTTTAGTGGGTTGTCCCGGAGACACTGTGGAACAGAAGAGCCTGAAGTTTATAGCGAGTAGAGCTGGTTTCAGGTACCAGCCCTACCGCCTACTGGCTGTGTGATCTCAGGCAAACCGCCTACCCTAGAGCACCAGATACTTAAGGAATCGTAGTGTCTATTTCTCAAGGAGTCGATGCTATAAGGCATGTGAAAAAAAAAAAATGCTCAGAGCTCTGTAATCACTAAACAAGCAGAAAGATAGCTGTTCACAGATCCTGGTAGGATGGCAAATGCCTTACTTGGCCTGGGATTTTCAGCGCTTAAGCCGGAAGAATCCTGCACAAGTGGGAACATTGGCCACCCTGGTACAAGGCATCTAACCCTAACAGCTGGGGGAACTCTTGCTTGGAGAGGGAAGCCAAGGCTCAGCCCCCAGTGCAAACAGAAGGAGGAACCCGGCAGGGGCAGAGGAAGGAAAGGGACGTGGAGCTGGAGAGTGTGATAAATTTGCCTACATGCAAGGATTCTGGGTCACGTGGAGGTAGAGAAGAGGCAGCAAGAGCGAGGCCGAGGGAAGAGGCAGATGTCCTGCAGAGGAAGTGGGGTGTTACAGAGGGACAGGAGACACAAGCAGGAAGTGGAGTGCTGAAAAGACCTTGGGCTGGGCATCCTGAAACCCAGCCTTGACTCCTGGCTCTGCCCCTTCCCAGCCCAGTGGCTTGGACACAACTCCTTGAGCCTCAGTTTCCTCGCCTCTAAAATAAGGATCATAATGCCAGCTTCACAGGGGAACTATGATGGGTATCAGAGATGAAATATGGGAGAGCACTTCATAAGCTCCAAGGAGCCAGACAAGTGGCCTTCCTCCCCACGCCCCTTCACATGCCCCCACCTCTCTCCCACCTGCTGGAATGCACAGAGTTAACCCCTTCAACTCTGCCTCCTCCACCGACTAAACAAATAGGAAGCTCCTTGGTGCTGGGATGAAATATCATGGACCAGGAGCCCCTTCCCTCCCCCAAAGGTACCCATGGAATTGGTGGGCAGAGAGGGCCGATAACAAAAACCTATACAACTGAGTTAAAGTGAAGACTAACACACCGATGTCCTGGAAAACCAAGAGCTTGAGCCCCAGAACGAAGCAGTCCTGGAGTTGAAGCCGAGCTCCACCATGTACCAGTTTTCTGACTGAGCTAATTACTGAGCTCTCTGAATCCTACTCAACTGAGGCTGAAAGTATACAGCACAGCACTTGAAGACAAAAATTTTTTAAATGATCGCTATTGTGATTGGCATCATTTTATGGCTATGGATACAGCATTGAGACCTGTGAGTCCTATGAGAGTGTTTAGAAAGAAAAGCAACTGTAAAAGTCTTCACATAAGCAAAGGCCAGACTCAGGCCAACCTTGAAGGATGTGCCCTGTGCAGGCAGGTGGGTGCTCTGGGGTAGGGGAAGGACCAGGGGACAGCTTGTGTCAAGGCCAAGAGGAAGAAATGGGCGTGGTGAAGGGGCAGAAGAGGGGGGCAACTGTGCAGAGGCCCCCTGCCTGGAGGAAGGAACTGGGAACCAGTGGGAATAGAGCTTGGCTGGATCACTGAGGGTACCAATGAGGCCTTCGAGTGGAGTTTGTTTAGCACTCACTCAAGTTTATATTTACCCTCATGATAAATATGGGAAAGTATTAAATTGTAATAAAATAAAATAAAAGCGAATTCCCAGGCAGCATAGTTTAGAAAGCCTCTGATCTCTGGCCGTGACCAGCTGCCAGCATTCAATGCCAACACCCCAGTCCATCTCCTACCAGCTGGTGGCCCTGGGCAAGCTGCTGTCACCCCCTGGCAGAGCATGGGTGGGAGAAAGGATGCCAAGCAAACACTATTAATGAAGCCTTTGATGCAAGAGGACAGCTATTCTCTACTTCCTCAAAACAAGAAAAATGTTGACTTAAAGTGAAGCATGAGAGATTTTCCTTATCCCAAAGGAGATATTTAACCTCAGGTCAATATTAAAGGGTGAATAAGCTTTCTAGGACAAATTGCTATCCCTAAAGGAAACCTCATAACTGGTTGGACAGCATCCAGCAGTAGTTTCTAACTGTGCTACACATTGGAACCACCGGGAGAACTTCAAAACCCCTTGTGCCTGGGCCCACCCTTAAGGACTCGGGTTTAATTGGTCTGGTGATGTGGTCTGGACTTTGGAATTTTTAAAAGGTCCCAGGTGGTTTAATGCACAGACACGCTTAAGGACCTGACCTGGAGGAAACAGAAGGACACAAGAAATGGCCTCTTGAGATTCCATTCAGTCCAAGGACAAAATAATAATAATGATCATCACAGTAATAGTTCATCTCTTATCAAATGCTTTCATTGGGCCATGCACTGTGCTAAGTCTACAATGCGGAGGTCTCATTACTTCTAAATACCAGCATCATAATGAAGGTATTCTTATTGCTATCCTCATTTCACACATGGGGAAAACAACACTTGGAGAGAGAAAGTAACTTATCCATTCATCATTTCATCACAAGTGAAAGTGGTGCAATGGGGATTTAAACCCAGGCATTCCCACTCCAGAACCTGCATGTATTGCAGAGGGGATGGGGTGCGTGGAGAGAGATGTGCCCCATTCTCCCTCTCCCCATCTCTCCCCTCCTGCCACCAGTGAGGCTCTCCTTAACAGGAAAATGAGAAGGCCGCTGAAGCCTCTGGCTTGCCCAACCTGTCTCCCAGCTACTGAAACCCAGGGCTGCCAAGAGGGTGACATGGGAGCAACTATCAGCCACGGGGATCACGGTCTTACGCAGAGCAGGAAACAGGGCTCAGAGGACCTGCTGGTGGGACCAGCCCAGGCAGCTGCCGCAAATCTATTCCCCACCTCACCTGCATCTCCCAGGCCCTGGAGGTGGCTATCACAGAGGTGTGGCAGGGTGTGGGGACAAAGCAAGAGAGAGAGGGAGACTCTCACTCTCCTGCCCCCACCCAGGAGGGAGTGGAGGGCTGCAGCCCTGGAGTAGGTATGGGGGATTTGATCTCCCTGAAACTGGGGCTTCTTGACCTGGAGCCAGCAGATAAGAGGTGGTGACAGACACAGACCAGGGAGCGCAGCCTCCTGGGACAGAACAGAAGCTCCAGGCCTTGTCTTCCCTCACTCCCAGACACTCTTCTCCTTGCATCAGAGTGTCGGAGCAGACACGAGAGGGAGAGATCAGCCCCATACCTTCATTTTCCGAGGAGGAAATGGGTACAAGAGAGGGACTTGGTACAGAAGAAGTCAGTGGCACAGCCAGAGCCTAGGCACCCTCCCTCTCAGTCCAAAAAGGAACAGGGAGGCCCGTGA